CTAACTTACGGCTTTTTGAGTCGGGCTCAGGCTTGACGCTAAACCCTAAACCCCTACAACCCTACAACGCTACAACCCTACAACCGTACAACGCTACAACCCTAAACCGTAAACCCCTACAACCCTAAACCCCTACAACCCTACAACCCTAAACCCCTGCACCCCTACAACCCTACAACCCTACAACCCTACAACCCTACAACCCTACAACCCTACAACCCTAAACCCTGAACTTTCTGAGGAGCGCAGGGCCTCTGTTACTTGGTAGCCCAGTGGTGCCCTTTTGCCTTCTCGTTGCATCTAGGTTTCCCTGATCAAATGTCCAACCCCAAAAGGGCCCTTGGGTTTAGGGTTTAGGGTTTAGGGTTTAGGGTTTAGGGTTTAGGGTTTAGGGTTTAGGGTTTAGGGTTTAGGGTTTAGGGTTTAGGGTTTAGGGTTAGGGTTTAGGGTTTTGTAGTTCGTGGTGCCCTGCTGCCCTTTTTTTGGTTCAAGGTTCCTTTGTAAAAAATCACTTGCAAGAGGAGGGGGGGGGGGGGGCTTAAAGGTTTCCAAACGAATTCCGGCTGAAGGCTCTTGAGGCTCGTCTGGTCTGAAGATTTCCAGGCTGCAGGGCTTCAGGACTCACAGTTCACCCCCAAAGAATCCCAAATGCCAACCCCAAACCCTCAACCCTCAACCCTCAGCCCTCATGCAGAAACCCTTAACGCTTAACCCTTAACCCTAAACCCTAAACCCTTGCCCTAAGCCCTAACCCTAAACCCTAAACCCTGTTTTGGGAGGTTGTTACTAGAGAACCCCCTTACAGAATGCTTGGCTCCGTACACCCTTTTCAGAGGGCTTTGTAGTCGCAACCCGACATGGGAGCCCTACAAGGGGTTCTACATTGGGAGCCTACAACAGAAGGTGTTTTTGGGGGGTTCTTGACCCTAAACCCTAAACCTTAAACCCTAAACCCTAAACCCTAAACCCTAAACCCTAACCCCCAAACCCCAAACCCTAAACCCTGGGGGCTCGTATTTCCCTACCTGTCCTTGTCTGCGGAGGGTGATGATGGCGGCCAAGGCGCTCGCGTCGTGTGGGCTCGGGGCATTCCTGCTTTAGGGCCAAGGGATATGCAAGCCCCTTGAACCTTCAAACCCTACAAAAACAACCCTGAACCCTAAAAAACCCTAAAAACCCTAAAAAACCCTAAAAACCCTAGGGTGGCGCGGGAGATGCGGGGGCTATTTGCGATATGTAAGCCCTTGAACCTTCGAACCCTTAAAAAGCAAACCCTAAACCCTAAACCCTAAACCCTTCAGGGTGGATCGGGAGATGCGGGGGCTATTTGCGAATGGCCTTCGGGTGTTTGAGGTTTATCAGGTAGAGGGTCTACGGCGTCGTGGCTCAGGGATTCAGAGTTCGGGTTTAAGGTTCATAGGGTTTCGGGTTTCGGGTTTCGGGTTTAGGGTTTAGTTGTTTTTTTTATGCTTGCCATGCGCATCCAACTGTCTTTGATACAGCGGGAAAAGCGTCGGGGCGCGCGTTGGCGCAGTCGTCGGGTTTAGGGTTTCGGGTTTAGGGTTTAGGGTTTAGGGCTAAGACGGTTTCCATGGAGCGAGTTCTAGGCCCGAAGCCCGAGAATGAAGCCCGAATCCCTGCAACCTGCACCCTCTCTGAAGGGTAGATGCGTTTAGGGTTTGGGTTTAACCCTAAACCCTAAACCCTAAACCCTAAACCCTAAACCCTAAACCCTAAACCCTAAACCCTAAACCCTAAACCCTAAACCCTAAACCCATGTCAGCTGAATGAAAGCGGCCTCTGAAGGCGACAAGGTCTTGGCAGTCGCGGCTTCAGGGGGGGTAGGCTTGACAGGGCCCTAAACTAGGTCAGAAGGATCCTAAATTAGGTTATAAGCCCCTTAACTATAATAAGGATCCTAAATTAGGTTATAAGGATCCTAAATTAGGTTATAAGCCCCTTAACTATAATAAGGATCCTAAATTAGGTTATAGGCCCATTAGCTATAGTTAGTATGGTAAGGGGGCCCCTCCTTCTAGAGGGCTCATTCAGTTTAGTCCCATGTCTCTCGGGTTTTGGGCATAGGTTTCCGTTGATACCAAAGACCTCAGTACGGCCAGCACACTTGCTTGAGGAAGGTACTTCAACTTTTTTCTGTTTTGTGGGAGGGGGCGGCCTCCGAACCCTGAAACCAGGATCACATGTCATTGGGAATGCTTCTAAAACGCGACGCCGTAAAATCAGGATACCGATCCGAGATTTTTGCCACCTCCGAGACAAGGGCTCCTTAGAATGACTATTTCGGGATATTTAGAGGGTTCTTTCGGGTTGAGGTTGTCTAGGGTTGAGGGTTTAGGGTTTACGGTTCAGGGTTTAGGGTTTAGGGTTTAGGGTTTAGGGTTTAGGGTTTAGGGTTTAGGGTTTAGGGGTCAGGGCCTAAGTGTCGAGAATAGACGTTCTCCGCCACTGCAACAGCAGGTCGGCCGACGAAAGTGATCAGGACGCCATGCTCTGCTTCCTGCTGGTTCTTTTCAGGGGATGAGGGAACTCGGGCCCTACATAATCCCTTAAAGGGCATATATAGGGCCCTATATAATCCCTTAGAGGGTATATATAGGGCCCTGTATAATCACTTAAAGGGTATATATATATATATATATGTATATATATATATATATATATAGGGCCCTAATTTCCTCATTCCCTGCTAATTAACCAACTGTATGTCTTTGCGATGGAGTCGCTTCCCAACGATGCCGCCCTTAAGCCCTATAAAGCCCTAAACCCTATCAGCCCCAAACCCGCCCCTAAACCCAAACCCCTAAGCCCTAAACCCTAAACCCTCTCTTTCAGACATATATATATATATATATACATAGATATAGATATAGATATAGACTTATTTATTTATTTGATTGTTTAGACTTTTGTGCAATTTCGGTCAATGTGCCCACCGGGTTTTGGTAATTTCGGTCAATCGGCACCGGTGTTTTTGCGATTTCGGTCAATATTATCGGCACCGGTGAGCTTTATGTTTTAAATGGTATGGGATTCTCTGGGTGGGGGGTTCTGCTTGACTGGTGAAAGCTAGTCCATGAGATGCTGAACCCTAAACCCTAAACCCTAAACCCTAAACCTTGGGAGATGCCGTGGGGGGGAACTGGGAGAAGTTGACCCCGTCCTGCGAACCCGAAACCTTCATGAGCCCTGTGCGGCTGAGGGTTTAGGGTTTAGGGTTACCTTTAGACCCTGCAATTCTAAGCCCGAAGTCTTTGGTCCAAAGCACCCCTGATCCACAGCCGCATGCCTTCGGTTCGCTCCGCTTTTGGCTCTCTCCCATATTCACAGGAAGGTCATTGATGAGGTTTAGGGTTTAGGGTTTAGGGTTTAGGGTTTGGGGCTTGGGGTTGAGGGTTTAGGGTTTACGGTTTTGTTTCAGGCTCAGGAATTTAGCTCTATACTGGCTGTTGTGGCACTTCAGCCCTGAGAATCCTAACAGCCCTCCGAGCCCTGAACCCTTCAACCGTACACTCTCCACCCTAATCCCTACCCACGCTAGCCCTGACTCTTCTCTACACCGCGCCGGGGACCCTCGAACCCTTTACTCCACGACCATAAGCCTAAACCCGAAACCCTAAAATCTAAAATCGAGCACGTCTTCGCTCTCCCGCTCGCCGAACTGGTGTGCCATGGAGCAAGAGCTGTGCGGACCCGCGTGGTTTGAGTTCAGCTTGAGGGTTCAGGGGTTCATGGGTTTAGAGTTTAGGGTTAAGGGTTTAGGGTGGCCTTGAAATTCCCTTATGGTCCCTGTATAAGTGTCCTATCATATCCCCCAAAACCCTATTCCAACCCTAAACCCTAAACCCCAAACCCTGAACCCCAAAACCCTAAACCCTAAACCCTATGTTCTAATCATTGAGGCCTCCCTACTAGCCTGGCCCTTTGGCTCTTCGAGTTTGGGTCGGCATCGGATGCTCCGGACCTGGTTCCACTACAGTCTCTCGTTCGTCACAGTAAGTGCGCCAGCCCTAAACCAGGGTTTAGGGTTTAGGGTTTAGGGTTTACGGTTTAGGTTCAGCCGTAGACCCCAAGCACGATCCCTTGGCGTGCCTACTCCCTACAAGTAGGGGGCACGCCAGTCTACGTACAAGTTGGCCAGCCTCAAGAACCCTATTAATGGCAAGCGATGCGGCCGCGGTGCAGCTGAGCGCGAACTGTACATCGAGGGTCTTCAAGAATCTCCTTAAACCCTAAACCCCGAACCCCGAACCCTGAAGCCCTCAACCCCACCCCTTATCCCAAGCTGGCATCAAACCCTATACACCCTAAGTGGATAAACCCAAACAACCCTATAGGGTTTAGGGTTTAGGGCTTAGCGTTTTCCAGGGTTTAGGCTTCGGGTTTAGGGTATAAGGTTTAGGGTTTAGGGTTTAAGAGTTTAGGGTTTAGGGTTGAGGGTTTAGGGGAAGCCCTCAACCCGACTCTGAGCCCCAAACCCTTGAACAGGACAGAAACGGTTGGGTGGCCTGGTCCGCCATGCGAACCCAGAAGTCGTCGCATGGCAGCTGGCTGAGGTGCCGGGTCAAGGGTTTAGGGTTTAGGGTTTAGGGTTTAGGGTTTAGGGTTTAGGGTTTAGGGTTTAGGGTTTAGGGTTTAGGGTTTAGGGTTTAGGGTTTAGGGTTTAGGGTTTAGGGTTTAGGGTTTAGGGTTTAGGGTTTAGGGCTAGGACCCGGAGTAGGCCTTTCATTCCTTTTTTTTGGTTGGGGGTTCCCTTTAGAATCCCCTTAAAACCACCCTCTTCATTTCTAGGTTACTCCTGGGTCTAGTAGCTCTTAAGATTTTTGGTTACATGGTCCCTTAATATTAAGGGGTATACAAGGGGTTTCAACAGCAGGCTCAGGCTGTGGTGTCCGAGAAGAAGGAGGAGGGAGGAGGAGGAGGTGGCTCCTGACAAGAAAGGGAAAAAGCCCAACAAAAGGATGAGGGCTGCGAAGAGGCGCCGGGCTCTAGATGAACCCGGCACCACACCGAAAGTTGCCAGTCCTGCAGTGTCCACCGAGGGGACGGCCTCCCTCCGTATCCCACGCTGGGCAGATGTTGGAAGGGCCCCAGGCCAGACCAGTGGCCTTTATACTAAAGGACCATGAAAGCTACACTAAGATTAGTGTTCTGATGTCCCGAGCGCTCCACGTTAGTGGGGTTTGGTGTTTTTCTTCTGCATGACTCAGGCACAGCCTAGGGGGGTTCCTTAAACGCTAGCCGATAGGCGGCCGACTGCTCAGCTCAGGATCACAATTTTCTGCGTCGTAGTAAGAGCGGTAAGGAAAAGTCCGGATCCCCTTCTCCCTGCACCCTTTGTGCCCTAAGCTGCGGTCCTGCCCACGGTCCGAACCCTTCTGGTCACTTCTCTAAATGAGGGCCCCTTTTGTGGTCCTGATTAGTGGGGGGCCCTTCCTATTTAGGGCTCTAGGGTACCAGGGTACCCCCAAAAGGCACCCTAATTTGGAGAACTGGTCATACTTGGAGGTTCATGATACTTAGTAACCAATTCTAACCGTACTTCTAACTCTACCTATCACCATATTAGGGCACTTAAGGGGCTTATATGTGGCTTATAAGTACAGTTATCCGAAGCCCTAAACCCTAGACCCTAGACCCTAGACCCTAAACCCTAAACCCTAAACCCTAAACCCTAAACAGGCACAATTGGTTAGTAAATGCCATGAACCTCCAAGTATGCGTTGTCAGAGCCCATGGACCATGAAGCCTCTAAGGCTGAAGAGAGTGCCGAGTCGGTTTAGGGTTTAGGGTTTAGGGTTTAGGGTTTAGGGTGTAGGGTGTAGGGTGTAGGGTTTAGGGTTTAGGGTTTAGGGTATCACTTCACTATTGGCGGTACAGTACGGCTGCCAGTTCTCTTTGGTGTTGCATTCTCAGCTTATGGGTTCCTTAAGGGAGGGGGGTTCAAGGGGGTATGTGACCCAAGGTTCCCTAATGCTCCCTACTACTCCCTAAGGCTCCCTAAGCTACTTCACTGTTCGCAGTACACTAGGGCTGCTAGTTCTCAATTTGGGGGTTTGCGAAAAAAAGGGGACCCCTAATAGAGACCCCAATTAGTAAGATTCCCTTACGATAAGGACCGCAAAAAGGCAGCCCTAGTGTCGGAAACCCCCATTTTGCTGCTGTTAAAAAATTCGGGGACATCTAGGGTACCCGATCTAAAACCCTTAAATGTCCATGTACCTATATGGTGTATACTTGGGCCTTAAAGCGGTTTCCATATAGTAGCTTTAGGGCCCAAGTATATACTATGTAGGTACATGGATTCTTAGGGAAAGCATCAACATCCGTGTGACCTGGCCGCCTGTACAGGAGAATGCCGAGGTGATTGCAAAGGAGCGGAAGCAGTCGGTCTCACTGGGCACAGGGCTTGCGGTTATGTAAACCTTAAATCTTGGGGTTCAGGGGTTAGGGTTTAGGGTTTAGGGTTTAGGGTTTAGGGCTTAAACCCTAGACCCCTAAACCCTAAACGGGGGGGGGGGGGGTTGGGTTTCAGGCCTTGAGGTTTGGGGTCCCGATCTTTGTTCTCAAGATCGCTCGAAAGGGCCCAGGGTCTTTGCGTTCACATAGCATTGGCTCCATCCTTTAGGGTTTAGAGTTTAGGGTTTAGGGTTCAGGTGTTGCTGCTCAGGGCTAGGGCTGAGGGTTCAGCACCAGGGTCAAAGAGCTTTAGGGTTGAGGGTTTGGGGTTTAGGGTTTCGGTGTACGCGCGCGCGCGCGCGCGCGCGCGCGGGGCCTTTTTCTTTTGATTTAGGGGTGCGCTCCCGATTGCACGGCAATTTGAAAAGGCTCCTGCAGATGGGGAGGGCGCACCGGCCTCGACCGGTCCCCTGCTTGAGAAAGACCTGTGGACCCAGAAATGGAATGCTGCTTTTTCGCACTGAAATGGATAGTTTTGGGGGACCCAGTGCTTCTTTAAAGTAGACATCTGCTCACCCGCCCGGCGTCTCGGGTCGCCGGGGGGGGGGCGGGACCGTAAGGGACCTCGAGCCTAAGTAGTAAAGTACTGCAGAAACTCAACACAGGGACCTTTTTTTGGAGAAAGCCTTTCAAATGTCCTGTGCTGAGTTCAGGGCTTTCGGTGCTAGGGTTTCTGAGTGTTGTGTTTTGGGCTGGTCAAGTTGCCTGGGTCTGTTTCAGGGTTGAGGGTTAGCGGAGATCCTGCATTCCGATCCCCAAACCGTAAACACTAAACTCTAAACCCGAAACCCTAGTAGCCCTAAACCCTAAACCCCAGTAGCCCTAAACCCTAAACAAAAGACCCTTAACCCCAAACCCTAAGTTCGAGCCCTGCGAGAGGCTCGAGCACCCAGCTCTCGCCAGTTTAGGGTTTAGGGTTTAGGGTTTAGGCTTTGGGGTTTAGGGTTTAGGGTTTAGGGTTTAGGGTTTAGGGATAGTTTAGGGTTTAGGGCCAGTTTAGGGTTTAGGGTTTCGGGTTTCGGG